GGAGCGCGTCGCTTCCCGGGGACGCCGTAGCAGTATTGAGATTCGTGATATTTGTGTGACGGCAAGAGTAGCTTATGTAGGCCCACTCATATACCCCTAGTCACAGCATTTGTCCTGCAAAAAACGGTGGTTATAGAGTTTTGTGGGGTGGGGAAATGGGATAAGCAGAGAAGAAAATTTTTAGAAGTGTAAAGTGAAAAAAAATGCTTTCGAATTTGTTTCCTGCGGCCGCTGGGAGTAAGCTGTTCCGCGTGCGAATTGGAGGTGTGCGCGGCGTTTCGCGCCGTGGACTGTACTAAGGAATTGACGGATACGATGTATTCTGAATGAACACCTCACAATCGTAAAAAAAGCTCATGATTAGAAATTTTTTAATACCGAAATATACCGTTTCTTTAAGTCTAAAATTTAAAGAAGGCGTAATTTGCTACCCAACGAGTACAAGAAATATTTTTTTGTGTACGTTTTCCGTAACATATACTTGAATTTATAAAGGCAGTCAAAATCAATGATAAAAACGCATGCTATTTAAATAGTTTCTTTTTAAAGCATATACTTTTTGTTAGCGGTCAGAACGAAACACATTAAAAAGGCGACATTCTACCATGACTGAAATAACTTCAGAATAGACTACACGATAATCATTATCCCAATCTGAGTCAAAGTGATTAGCGAAAGAGTATCAATCTTTAGCATATGTCGGCATGTTGCGCGAATTCTGGCCAATTCTGTATGTTTGTGAATCCCATACGTACAGTAGGCTAGGCGGGTGAATCGACCAAAGTGTGATTAAATTAACGGCTCCCGATGAGCACAAGCCTGACAGTGCAGCTACGCGCATGCGGTGCCTCTTCTGACGAGTCTCGTTTTCCATCCAGGTTCAACTGGAGAAACAGCGAGCCCAGAACGAGGAGGTGCGTTGGCAGGATCCCGAGGATGTCACCCAATGTGCCTCCTGTGAAACTCCCTTCCCCGTGGGTAACGCGAGCCTGCGTCTGAAGACCAACTGCAAACACTGCGGCAAAATCTTCTGTCCGAACTGCCTC